ATGCGTTTTCCACATTGTTTCATGCGGTTGAATAAACACAAGCCGCACAGCCATACAACATGTGCATTTTATGATCTATACAGAACACACAGACAGAGACGGTAAGACAGAGCGAAAGAACAGGCTAGAAAGAGAGCGAACGACCAGTCCGGAGAGAGATAGAAAGAGTGTGCGAAAGCGAGATAGATGGATAGACACTTATTCGCTCGCTTGCCTCGACGGGAGGCTTACAAAATAAACATTGCGGCATGTATTTTGTTTGTACACACTGCGTATACGTACTGTGAGGCCACCACCACCACACCACACCACACCACACCACACCACCACACATTTCCTACCTGCCTGCGTTTTGTCAGTGGGCACGGGCACACCAACACACTGACACACGTACACATTGCAGTCACGTATGCACATTACTCAACACACGGGCAGGCGGGCAGGCAGGCGGGCAGCCAGGCTGCTGGAACACGGACTCTGGCTTTGGCATTGTGCTACAGAATTTAACCCTTGTGCGCTGTGCTGGTGAGGGGATTTGCTGGTTCTTTTATTTAAAGATTTTCAACAAATTGGAAAGCAATAAAAGTTGAACAAATTTGTTGTGGCACATACATATACATACATACAGATGGAAGTTTATTGGGGTAGTCTGTTTCCATTTCACTCAATCAAAAATTGGTTCGAAAGTTAAAGCGTTTAATAGACAGATACTACAAGACATCGTACTAATAATCGAGTTGGTACAATAAAATGTTTTAAATTTATTAATTCAAATGTGGATACTCCATAAAAAATCGTAACTAATATGTTTTTACTGTAGTACGAAATATTCCATAAAATAGGCTTAAGGAATGTAGCGGGTATACGTGCATTCGTACTTCGATTTGGCAGAATTCATAAATTCAAATCCGACAAATACTGCTGAATAGGGTGGGCTGCCCACGACAATCTTTTAAAAAGATCATGGGTTTCATCGACGAGCATGAGATCGAAATCTCTCATTATTTCGTTACTTTCGGACTTCCAGTTGTTGTACATTTCTCGGATCTCGAGCTGGTCTTTAGGGTCTCTAGCATTACCTATCGAATTGCCTCAAGATCTGCCAGGCATCAACAGACTATCGGTATGTCAGTCCACAGGAACGGCACTGGCCAAGGTCTGCAACTAAAGAGTTTCAATTAGGATCTCATTCTTCCCACCAGCACAGCTAAAGTCACAGCAAAGATCAGCGAGTAATGCATCTTTTTCAGGGTTTAACCGAAAACTATACTTTACTGAAGATTTGCTGCGCTTTTTAGTGGTAGATCACTGCGTGCCTTGACATAATCGCAGCATTTTCCCAAGCAATGGGTACCAAGAATCGATTACGAGAATGTAGCACAGTGTGAGATCGATTCAGAGATCAGTTCTTATGAACAGACAAGAGGAAACACTAGGAAACAGCATCTGAATGATGCAGTTCTGATAATGATGCTGTATGCGAAGCATGGTCTATGATCCTCTGATCGGAAACTGTACAGAATTTTCCGACTGGTTGATTGCACTGACAAGACGTCTTCCAAGAATATTTTATAGAGTAACTGAAGAACGTTGTATCCCAAAAAATAAAAAAATCCGACCAAAAGCTTGTTGCAATTCTTGAACCGTTTGTTCAGCTTCAAATTGTTATACTAATTATTTTTTCATACCGAATCTTTGGGATTAACAAGTGACAACTTATATCAAAAGTTACACAAAAGAGAAAAGCAGCATGAATATTTAAAATTGTAATTTCTTCCATGGCGGAGTGGATGGGGTGGCTGCGGGTGTCATCAGATTCAGCCCCTTGTCGGGGATTTGGGTTAAAAGTGAACTAATTTACATAGACCGCATGGTACAATGCGCAGGCGGCCGCATGGAGAAGGTAACAAAAAGATTCATTAGGGCCAATCAGTGCAAAGCGAGTCGTGGCGAAGGACATGGCGGAGAGGACCATGCCCTGGCCAAGAGAATGCCAGCGAGAGGATGTAATGGGTGGGACAAAGGGGGTACCGTACAGGGCAAGCCGTGTGTGCAAACGTAAACAGCTCTCTGTTAGCCATGGCTCTGGGTTCTGTATTCTGGGCTCTGGGTCTGGGCTCTTGGCTCTGGTCCCTCGGTACTGGCTACTGGGCTCTGGGTTCTGGGTTCTGGCTGGGGCTCTGGCTGGGTTCCTCTGTTGTTTGCCTTATAAATACGCACGCTCTACTTTAAACAAAGCGGACCCATCCACCCATATACCCACAGCAAACACACACACAATACCCATATATATATATATATATATATATATATATATATATATGTGTTTGTGTGTTAATGTATGTATGTATGTATACTACACGTGCCTGGCTCTTGTTGTAAACAATTTGTTCTACCAGTACCAGAACCAGCAGCAGCAGCAGTGCCAGTACCAGCCTTTGGTCGGTATGGCTGTACACACTGTGTACGCCTCAGTATGTGCAAAACAAATTTAAACTTTACACCCAAAGTTTATTTTTATGAGCAAAACTTTAAATAATGAAATTATCTGACAAGAACTTGGAGAAATGGCCGGCCATCATCCACAAACGAAAGAAGAGCCCAAGGAGCCATGGCGAGAGAGAGACAGAACGAGAGAGAGAGAGAGAGAGGTGGACAGACACACCAGATACACAGAAAAAGAGAGAGTGAGAGGGGGGCACTACCGTACCTCATATACAGTGAAGGGGAGAGGAGAGCAGAGCTACACCATAACTGATTGCCCCAATATAAAGTTTTGTGCAGTTGGCTCGAAACCAATCAATGGCGTAATTTATACCCAGACCCGTTCCACGCACCTGAGTACCTGAGTTTCTCCTAACCCCATGGCAACCCCCACACCCCATAGCTTTGTTTCGTTATCAAATATTTATTTACACTTGAGCTATAATAATTCATTGATGCATTGAATGCCTGGCACGACACGGTTATGACTCGGCCGCCTGCCGCCTGACGCCTGCCGCCTGCTCGCTCGCTTTGGGGCCACACCAAGAAGGCTAGGCTAAGAGACCAGGCCAGGTCTCGGTCTCAGGCACGACCCGGCAACGTAAACGTCAGGACTAACCTTTGCCCGATGTCCTTCAAAGGCGCCGTCGCTGTGAAAGCAACAGCTGTGCGCTCTCAATGGCCATGCGAAAGAGCGCCGCTGCTGCTGCTGCTCTGCTCTTTGCTCCCTTTTCGAAGCTTTCTGTGCATTCCAACCTTCCAGTTTCGAACTCGTTTCAGCCGACAAAAGCTTCGTTATCAGAGCTTTGCAAAGGAATAGCGATACACGACTCGAGCGAGGGTTGTCCAATGGTTAATGGTCTTTCGGCTCGGAATTCGTAGGTTTGAATCTATTTTAGAAATCAAAAGACTGTTGCAGCTTGTCTCAGAACATTTCATGGTTAAGAGTTTGGATTAAAATATTACCATTGAAGTTGCCACTTATCGCTGCCTTCGTCAATAAGACATTATATATTATCCAATGGAAACGAGAAATACCTAGGATAGACTGCGTATTTGTTGTCCAAACGATTCTGGGACCGACTTAGCTGAACACACGAAGCCGGGTAGGTATCGGGCCGCGGTCAGGGACGAAGCATAGGTGAAAAGAGAATTGAAACAGCTTTTTGGTCCCTCATGTACGGTTAGGGTTATTTTTGATGCGTTGGCAAAATTGCATTTTTATTTATTTATTCATTTCATGATATATCCTAGCGGTAAAAGCTTAAAACATTAACATCCATTATTCCATTATTGCTTTCTTTAATTTTGTTGCGCTCCTAATTGATTTAATGTTATGGGAAGATTGTTCCACATGCATTTACAATTTGTAATTTATTTTCAAAATTATTTCCAAGTTCAAACTTTATTCATCACAATAGTACTTAGATTTATCTGAATAAAGATAGCGACCAAAAAAAGGGTGACCATCGTAATCACGTCGATACATATAGACATTGCTTGCGCTCGAATACTCCTGCTTTACAATGCTCCAATTTTCCGATGGTTTATTCCTCATTTCATCGAAGCGTGCGCTAATATTACTATTGGAATTTTCGATTATGTTGCTACTTTCGGAATCCCAATTGTTGTACAATAGCCGGAGAGTGGGCTGGCTTTCGAGACTCAAGTTGCCGAGTATGTATCGGTTGTAGGAGCTTTCGAACCTGTTCAAAAAATCAATCATCTGATCGAATCCTTGAGTGTTGTTGACCGAGTCGAGATCTCGCTTTATATACTCCTCGAAACTTGAATTTTTTGGCAAGATTTCAATGGCCGCCCGGCCAAGAACTGCTGCCTTTTGTGTTAGGGACTCCAGAGCTTCGTGTTGATCTTTCTCAACATATTTCAGAAATTCGCACAGATTTTCGAAGGGATGTGGAATACTAAAGCTACTGGTGTAGCTCACCAGCACAGCTATAGTCACAGTAAATATCAGAGAGTAGTGCATATTGTGCAGTATTTAAAATCCGACTGAAGCTTCCGTAGCAACTGCTGCGCTTTTTATGGCTGCGTGGCTTATCGCAGAATTATCACAAGCCTGTGGACAATGCAAACTCATTGAACTCGAAATGTAATCAGAGTCTGTAATTTACAGATGCTAATAATAGAAAAATTTAAAGAGATATACATTTATTATTTGTTTATTTATTATTCTGAACCAATGCTGTCAGATCACATTAAACATTCATAATGGTTTAGTATCAATTCCTTTTATTTCAAATGGTACCCACTATCAGATTATAAGGAGATTTATTCCTTTTAGCCAAGAAAATCCGAGAAATCATTTAAATGATTTTGGAGTAAAATATTTGTATAATAAAACATTTTATATTGGGTATTTATAATTTATAAAAGACATTATCTTTACACTTTAGTTGAATAAATAAAAAAAAGTCTATAATTTGATAACTTGATAATATTTATATGTAATTCGAAATTAATTTAAACAATTGAACTGAATTTACAATTTTTTTTTATAATTGAATCTATGGATTATAATTTTGACTTAAAACAGCATAAAAAAAATTACTTGAAAACTCCTACGAAAGATACCTATTACATTTCTCTGCCATTATTATTTAAAACTATTTTTCTTAGCATGCGCTTTAAGCTTAAAATTAATTTCTGTTCATGCGATCGAGTACTATAATGTTTAGAGAATTGGACAATACGATATTGATGTTGCTATTCAGTCGTCAAACTCAAATACGGGTTTGCCATTGGCATCCCAAGTATTTTTGTATTTCTTGAAGGCACAGACCAGATATAGAGCTAGAAGAGAACAAGAGATACAGGGTTACCTTCAATAAATATTTGATGGCCACTCACTTGTTGCTTCCCACTCGGATTTCGAGAGTGTACCCAGCGGCCTGCCCCGCTGGGATGCCTGAAATTCCTGGACATGGGCAAATTGATCATCATTGGCACAACGCTGCGGCTGGATAGACTCCAATCCCGACATTCGTTGCAATAGATTACGACCCTGGGGCAGAGCTTCCTTGTAGTAGTCCGCAAATGTGGTCTTTCTGACCAACTTCAGGCCATACTTGCGGCCCAGCTTGACCAGAGTGGGGAAATGGACTAGAAATTCGGGACAATCCACAACGCCCTCCAAATGAAACTGATATTTCGCACCGAACAGTGGCAGAGGATCCGTCTCACAATCAAATTTAATGTTGTACACATCATTGCCAAAACTTTGAGCATCTGGACCAGCTTCCCGCTTTCGTCGCATTATTTCATAGGCATCCGGCATTGTGGCTATAAAATAACCGCCCGGCTCCAGGCATTCGGCTGCATTACGCATCATGCAATCGGCCTGGCCCAGGGACTCGAAGCAATAGTGAAATGCAAACTGGCAGGAAACTAAATTTAGCTGCAGGGTGACATCCTTATACCGCTCGCGGAGACGCACCAGCGTTGAATCGCAGGCAAAGAATTCAGCTGTAAATTTGTTGGCGTACTTGGATTTCTCAGCACGCTCCAATATATCCTGGTACCGCCGCTGGCACTGCTCCACCGATACCTCAGCAATGTCCGTACAAATGATATGCGTGATGGCGGCCTTTTCCCACTTCAACAGGTCGCCGCCCTTGCCGCAACACATGTCGAGCACTCGCAGGGCATCGCCAACCCGCTTGGATTCCTTAATCAGAGCCATGTACTCATTGATCAGCATGCTCTTGATCCAATTGTTGAAGTTCCGCATGAAGAATATCTTGGATTTCTGTCGATCCCTCCGTCCACCCTCCTTCAGCTCGTTGTAATGACTGGCCACAACGTGGGTGTTTGCGGCGCCCTCCTGGGCTTCTTCATCATCTCCGCCTACCGCATCGTCTTGGCCTGCATTTATTGGGGCCGCTGTCGTCGCAGATTCTGCATTGCTTTCGCTCTCCTCGTCGTCGGAGAGGCTGACGCTTTTGTGTGCTTTGGCAAACTTCTCATCGGCGACATTTTGTTCGTAGATGCTCATAATTTCACTTAATTCCTACTTTGTTTGGGATGGACATTTTTTTTTATCGATGATTTTGGGTCACATTTTGGGTGACTAAGTTGGGAATGACCGAAAAATTTCTATGAAGTAAAAAAATATAGGAAAGTGCTAACTAAATTGAATTACATGCAATTACTCAAATATTATATAAAGAAAGAAATTATTAAACGTACCTTATGGAAGTCAAAGTATCGCCGATGGCTCATCTCCCATCACTATGGACCCGATAGTTGATAGTGTTGTGAGCTGTTGCGACCAATCAGCTGTTACCAATTCATGCGGTCTTTCAGATTTCGATTTATAAATGCGTTTTCTCGGGCTTGTAAATAAATTGAACTCTTTATTAATTAAAACAACCGCTCGAGAGCTGTCTAAACGCAGCATGGCCTGCAGCAGATATGAATATGTGAAAACATACGAGCAGGATGACACCATTTTACCGAATGTGTGGATTGTTATTCGGATTGATGGCAAAAAGTTTCACAAGTTCTCCAAGACCCACAACTTTGAGAAGCCAAACGACGAGAATGGTAAAGAAACAACCAACTGATGATCAAGATTATGATTCGTTAAACCTTTTCTTGTAGCTCTTAATGTAATGAATGCGGCTGCCACTGCTGTGATGCAGGAGTTTCGGGATGTTGTCCTGGCTTATGGCCAGAGCGATGAATATTCGTTTGTGTTCCGCAAGGAGACGGCGGCATTCAAGCGTCGCTCAGCGAAACTACTGACCTACGTGACCAGCCTGTTCTCCACGAGCTATGTGATGCAGTGGTCCAAGTGGATGTGTTTGCCGCTGGCCTATGCCCCATGCTTTGATGGGCGCGTGGTGCTATATCCTTCGGATGAGAATCTAAGGGATTATCTGAGCTGGCGGCAGGCCGATGTCCATGTGAATAATCTGTATAATACTGCATTTTGGAAACTCGTTCTGGACTCGGGATTGAGCAATCAAAAGGCCGAGGAACGACTACGTGGAACCTTCTCAGCGGATAAAAACGAATTGCTATTCCAAGAGTTTGGCATCAATTACAACAATCTGCCAGCCATGTACCGAAAGGGTACGATACTGCTCCGGAAACGTGTTATCAGCGATGGGGATAATGACCAAAAGGGAAGACAGGCCATCGTGCCGCTCCACGAAGATCTGATTTCATCGCACTTCTGGAAAGTCCACACAGAGATATTGGGAAAGTATGTGCCCGGCACTTATACGGCTCCTGAAATCATGCCCAGACTAGTGGACTTGCAATTGAACACCAAGCAGGAGAAGGGCGATTACGAAAAGAAGCAACCAGAGAATCTGGCCGGGATTAGCTGATAGTTCAACTTATGGCAATATATTTTAAGATTAAAATTACATTAAGCAATGCTAAAAAAAAAACATAACTACTAGTAGTCATCATCGTCGTCGTCGTCATCATCCTCACTGGGCTTGCTGGCGATGGAGCCATCGGCGTGTGGTGGCTTTTGGATCATAGCCGCTGCCTGCATACTCATCCACTGTTGCTGTTCCTCGCGTGCCTGCTCTTCGCGCGCCTTGGCGAACAGTTCTTGCTGCTGGCGCAGGAGCTCCTCCTCGGGTATGCCAAGATTTTCCAGCCTAGTGCTTTGTCTGCGTCGCTTGGCAGCCACCTCCTTGCAGTCGTGCAGAACTGCCTCAGCCTCCTGCTTGTAATCGGTGAATCCCAGTCGCTCCAGCGCCTCCAGGACATGTTCGGCATTGATGGTCTTCTTGTTTCGCAGATTGCACACCTCGTTCGCCTCCGAACTGATCAAATGGATAAATTCCGAGCAGCAGTTCAATATCAGCTCGCGACTCTCGTTGGCTACGCGCACGGTGGGCACCAGCTCTTTGATGATCTTGTTGATGCTGGCGCGTGGCAAAGTAAGTTCATCATCCTCGGCACTGGGTGGCAAAAGCTCCTCCTGGGGATTGGACATGGCGTGGCTCGAAAACGTAAACAAAAACCAAGCAAAATTAATGGAAAATGCTGCTTCTTGCTGGAGAGTGTTGGAAAACTGTGTTGGCTAATGCCACAATCAAATATCGATTGAAGCCAGACCTATCGACTGCAGTGAAGTGCACATACGCGGAAAACAAGATTTTCTATAAATTCAATTAAAATTTACTTAAACAATGGCTGACTACGATTCGGATGATGAAAAATCTCAAGTGGAGAAACTGCGCTATGCCAAGGTGCCGCGCGGGATGTTTGTAAGCGGCTGGGATGACGACGCCGACGAACTTATTGAGGAGGACAAGAACCCCCAGGGTAAGCGGCTAAAATTCAGATTCTTCTTCTACAAAGTTGTTACCTTTAAATGGGTTTTTCTGCACACACTCTCAGCCAGCGTTGAACGCATGATTCTGTGGGCCGTCAACGAGAACCGTATAAGTGAGGTGCGTGAAATCCTCAGACTGGACCCGGATGCGGTCAATGCCCGTGACAGCGATGGCTACAGTCCCCTGCATCGGGCTGCATACAACAATTTCGTGGACATTGCCAAGCTATTGCTGCAGTACAAGGCCGATCCCAATGCCCGCACCGATCTGGGCTGGACTCCGCTGCACTCTGCCTGCAAGTGGAACAATGCCGATGTGGCTCAGCTTCTGCTGCAGTTTGGTGCAGATGTAAACGCCGAATCGGAGGGAAAACAAACGCCATTGCACATTGCCGCCACAGTATCCAATTGCAGGAACACAGCCACAACCCTGCTGTTGGACAGGAATGTGCAGCCCAAGAAGGAGAATAATTCAGATGAGGTGGCTGCTGTTATAGCTCGTCGCACGGGCATGAGTTATCCCATCTTTCAAATGGCCCATGAGGCCTTCGAATGCGAGACGGGACTGATAGATTAAACAAGTAGACTAGCCATCATATGTGCATAATAAATATAATACTTAATATACATTTATTCAAATCGAACCACCACTCATCACCTCCCCCCTTCAGCTGGCTGGAGCCGGGGTCCTCACGAAATGTTCATAGAATGATTTTGTATATTTGATCATCTCGTCTTGCATAGCGGCGGGCACAAAATACGGATTACCCTGACCGCCCTCGATGGTGCCCTTGGCCGTGTACCTCATGTAGCTGGAAACAGTCGTCTCCGGCGGCAGCACAGCGCCATCCTCAATGATGCAACAGTCTTTGATTACACAGCGACGACCCTACGAGGGGAGACAATTAAGATTTGAGTGAAATATTTAATTGGACAACATGCCAACACTCACAATGATGGCATTCTTGCCTATATAAACGCAAGAGCCCACTGAAGCCGCAGAAACTACAGCACCCTCGCCCACAAACACATGATCTCCGATGTGCATTGGGAAGAAGGCGATGCCTTTGCTAAACTGCTTGTACGGTGGTCGTATCACGGAATCCTTGCTGATCACACAATATCGTCCTGCTCGTACATTGGCCAAGTCGCCGCGGATGATAGCTCCACTCTGGACAATCACTTTGCCATTGAGCACGATATTCTGGGACCCGCAGAGCACTGTGTGGCGGCTAACTTTGTTGCCAGAGGCCTGTAAACAAAAAAGGTTTGGCATGATGAGGTCATCAAAATTGTCTTGTTCCCAGACGATCTTTAAAACATTGCTGGTACTTGCCGTCTCCACGTATTCATCTTTGCTGTAGTACGTATCCGCTATCTCCATTTGTTTGGGGATTTATTAACTTTTTTCCTGAATTTGTTTTTGCCAATTTTTTTGTCTGCTGCCAAAACGAGCTTAGCCCACTTAAGCCCCCTCTATTTAAACAGTTCAACAACTTGAGTTAATTGGCGGAGAATATTACTGATTGTGAATTCTTCTTGTGGATCCATGCAATCTTTCCTCTGAACCTTGACATCTTTCACCTGAACTGAGCTAAAATAATTCTCTACTTTCGGTGGAACATCAAAAAACCCTTAAAGGTCTACGATGGGTTAATCGATATAGAAGGAAATGAACTAGTAGCAATCGGAATGAGTGGTTCCGAAATGAATATTTAGCTATCGGAATCAATTTTAACCATCTATATATCGATTTGTTGTGTTGGCGCGTATTTTTGAATCAAAATTGGTTGCGTGTTTTATTTAAACTTTAAATATATGCAATTTCTATTACAATTGAAGGAATTTTTCATTCAAGCTAATCATTAATTAGACGCACGCGATTTTCAACAAATTACATCGGCCTTTGGCAGCCGTTGCATAGAAAAATGCAGGTGTTTAACCCACATTGACCCTGAACTTTATGCATGTATGCAACAATCACGATGCAGATTAGACAGCTGCTCTTCACAGCCTGAAATCTTCTAGTAACACAACAAAAAAAGAATGTTAATAATTGCTCACAGCTCAAGGGGTGGGGGTGGGGTGTGCGGTCAAACCCATTAACTCTTCACCGCCGCCAAAATGGTCTGTGGATGATAACCTTCCACAACACAAACTTCCCGCTGGCGCTGTGCTCCAATGATGTTCCAATTAATGCTCTTTAATAATCGCAACGCGGACGGACCCCAAGCCCAGCCCAGCCCCGTCGTTAACCTTCAAAGTGCACGCTCGAATGCCCTCACGAGGCGGCGGCTAATCATAGTAGCATTTTAATTTCTTATTGTTTGTTTTGTCTATTTTCTTGGGCAGGGGGTTCTGTGCCTTTTGCAGAACAGACATTCAATGCCCATACTTATGGTAATCCATTTTGGTGTGTCCATATACTTAGCTGTAGGGTTTTAGCAGGGCTATAATTATGATGTTGGCATAGAAATTAATTTGCTAAAATATTCATGTGTTTAATTAAAGATTTTCTTTTAATTTTAGGAACCAAACCGATGCCAAAATTGGGTTCTGTGAGGTAAGTGGGTAAATCTTGGTATTTCATGGCGACTTCTTTAAATCATTCTTAAACTATTCTGAACTTTGGAATTGTTTTTTTTTACTCAACAAAACAATTGCTTTAGCTAATTTTGGATCTTTAAAGAAGCCGCCAACAAATCGCTTAACCTTCTGTCTGGGAAAACCGCATCTAAATCTATTAATCTATTGATGTTTGCACTTTTGAACCAAAGGTTAATAAACTTGAACTTGAATATTGTTAAGAAATTAATTGAGTTCTGCTGTGCACCCAGACAACATTTAAGCGAATGATCTAACAAATGATACAAATTTGTTTTCCGAGGTTTTTTTTATTCTTTAAATTGTGTTTATTGTTGTGCTGAGGTTTCTAAAGCGAATCGATAATTAATGTGGTGTGAAAGAGTTTAAAAGTGATTCAAATATTGGCTATTTCGGGGTCGAATGTTTCCGTAAACATGTTTTATTTGTGTGTGTGGAAGTATACCATTTATACCATTTTTAGAACGAATATATTGATGTATTTTTTGTTTAAAAGTAAATTTTTCCATACTTTAGATATTTTCAAGAAACACAAAACTTTCTCTACCGTTCAATACCAAAATATCAAGGCCATACACAGCTCTTGGAGCCATAGAACAGTCTAGTCGAGTGTTTGCCTTACACTAGCGCTCCATGAGGCTCTTCGACTCGTCTGCCACAAAGCGACCTTCAGATACTACATGGAGGGCGCCCCACAACAGACTATGTAAATACTTACAAAAGACCAACTCATCCATGACCTTGATAATCATTTATTGCTATTGTTGTTGGACATATTTGGATATTCATTAGATACTACATGGAGGGCGCCCCACAACAGACTATGTAAATACTTACAAAAGACCAACTCATCCATGACCTTGATAATCATTTATTGCTATTGTTGTTGGACATATTTGGATATTCATTATTAAATGGCCACTACACTGCTATATTTTGTGGCTAATCAAGATCAAGAAACACGCACTATAAACATACGTCATCCCGATCACGATCTCATTTTGCTGTTGGGGATTGGATCCAAATCTTGAGCTGGTTTTTTATGGCTTTAACCTTTTTTAATTGTTTTCAGTAAGCTTTCAATGGAGAAAAACTAAAGCACATTTCAACACATAATTAATAAATAGAAAATGAAACAAAAACAGAATCTAAATCTGAATCGAAAACAATGCCAGTGCTATCCAGTTGGGGTCCGAGTCATGTCAGATCTAATTGAATAATTGCACATAACTTGCATAAATCTACACTGAGAGAAAGGAAGATATATATAGATCTATGAGATAAATGGGAAAATAGATCCGTTTTTAATTTTTTAAGATTTATTTATTGGTAAAATCCAGGGATCGGAAGGACTAGAATTGTTGGAATAAAAATTATATTATATTTTATCATATTTATGTTATATCATTTTAATTTGACCCGGGGACTTTTCTATTTAAAGAATATTAATAGTTATATTATATTAAATAGATTAATAGATTCTTAACAAGGCAGAACA